GGGGGGGGGTGAAAGAAACTTACTTTACTTTCACACGTTGTACAATTGTAATAATACAAATCTCCATCAGGTGAAACGTGTTCGCTCCAGTCACATTCTACCGAACGTTCTGAGTCAGAAATTGAATTGAATGATCGAGAAGCAAGTGTGTTCCTACCCGCCATTGTTGGTTTGCTCACGGAAGGTGAAAACTGCATATATATGTAACTACGTATAATCAGCGTTGGTAGATAAGATGGATAGCTTAGTCACAGACAAGCTAAAATTTTTATTAAACAAAAATATCCTTCAATCGACATTTTCCCATTCTCATAGCAAGATAAGACAAGAAGTGAAATCTCCTGCAGTCTTTGCCTATACAATTTTATTATTTTTATTTTCCAGAAAATAACACAAGATTTTCATATTGTTCAGTTCTTTGAGGTGTGGTGTGATGTGAGCCCTAGCTAAACGATCAAATCAAAATATGGCTAGATGAGTCCACAGAAAATTATAGTCACAGCATCTGTTATATCATTAAGAGCCCAAAGTAATCAAGATCAATATGACGTGGATAAAACCTGGTGAGCGAGCAAGACTTTTTTACTCACATTTCAAACACTCATTTTCGAATTTGATGAATGTAATGTGTTGGTCTTATGGATGTTCAGGAAAAATTACCTTCATTTGTAGCATTTCATTAGACAGCATATGCCCATTAGGCGGATCATTTGTATATGGATGAGGCCTAGACAAAATAAATGAAGCAACAAGCTCATGAAAATACAATGATGAAGAATATTTGGAAACGAAATCAGAAAGAGACAGGTGTCAATGCAGATAATATATACGTGCACACACGCATGAATGTACGTGTGTTATTCATCGGTGAAATAAAGAGCCCAGACTCAATAGTTCCTTATAATCACATGTTAGTTCGGTGCTCAGTAATATCGATTAAAACAATTCACATGCAGAACTAACCGGATAACAATGAAAATATGCACTTGAAAAACTAATGGGGATAGCATTGAAACCATTAAGGTGAAGCAATAAGTAGTAAGTTTTTCAAACTATATGGTACCTTGGGCCCCCTAGCCTCGGTTTCTTAGGATCTGCGAATCGGACTATCAAAGGTTGATCGCATCCCTGTTCACAGACTATCTTAGGTAAACGTTTGTAATATAAAATTAAAGTTATAATACACGAATGCTAAAAGGCTTACTTTCATCACATATATTCCATTCAAAGCCTGAATAGCGGCCAATGCCATATCTCTACAAGAAAATTGGACAAATGCAAATCCTTGGAAGCCACAGAATATTTACATGAGCAAAACAAATGACAATATTGATTATTAATAAGGAGAGACTTGCAATGTCTTTAAGAGCCGGTACAGAACAACATACGAGACTCGAGAGAATCCAGCACAGACCAACATAATCAAATAAAATATAAACTAGTGGGAAGCTGCTTCCCAACAATAGCTCATACATCACAAAAACCTTACAACTTAGCTAAGGAACGTGAAAAACGTAAAAAACACAAGTACATACCACGGTTTTGCTTAAATTCATCTCGTACAATGAAAATATCTTCAATTACACCGAAAGGAGAAAATATCTGACAAAGAATCATTCATTCAGTACTTGACATAAATGGCTTCAAATGTGATAAGCAAACTAAAGTTGTGTTCTTCCATATTTAATTCTAATAAGATCAGAAAGATTTCTATGTGTACAAGGCACAAGGAAATCGGCATTCTCCATTCCTTTCAAAGAAAAACAAATAAATAAAGATAAATCGTACATACTTCTTCAATTTCCCATTTCAGAGCCTGCCTATTCACGCAGCCAACATACAACTTGTGGACATGTAAAAAGGTCCCTAAAAACAAAGGGAGAAAATCATATCAGCGAGAAGTAGATATATAGGTCTCATTTTTATGTGAGCATGCATGCAACAGAACAATGAGGACTTGTAAGTATGAATCACAATATGTAAAATATAGATTTCAATAAAGAAATATTCCAAACATTTTGTCCAAATGGTTTTAAAGGAGAATATAATCACCAAGGCGTTCCCGTTCTCCATCTGCATACTTAACTATCATAGGAACCGCTGCCTGGATGAAGTAAACGTATCAGAAAAAATTATACGAATTTCTGGAGAATAGAACTTTAGCACTCTTGATGTCTGCCGCCAAGTTTGTGGTAACTAACCCCAGGGAATATATAGTGACTTTGAAAAGCTGCAATAGCTCGCTCAGCTTGGTCTACAGTTTCAAACTTGACAAAGCAGAACTCTAGAAGAATATAGAACAAAAAGGAAAAAAAAAATAATTATAATTAAGTACTTCAAAGTTGAGTAACTATAAATAATTATTCCAGAATTAGCACAAACTAGATCAACAGATTCAGCAGGAAAAAGAAAAGCATAAAGGTCATGCACACAACCAGTAGCAGACTGTCATCTAGCAGACATCCAACAAAGACTATAATAGAACTAGATATAATACCAAACTAGAAGATGATGTCAAAAGAGGCATCATATCATTGTAAACGGGAAATAATTCATTCAACCAAATTATGATTCCACAACAATTTCAACTGTAATGGATGTGCTCAAACAAACGATGAACCTAAAAGCTAAAATTAAACACAGCATAACATGAACTGTAAAGTTAAAGCTTTTTCTGCCTGACACTTGTTACTCAGATTCATAGTTCATACCTTGCTGCAAACCGGTCCTCTTATCCCTCACGATAATAATCTCAATAATATGTCCATATTCTCCAAACACAGCAGCAATCTGAAATCAAAAGAGGAGAAAACCCCATTTACAATCAAAATGATTATTAAGCAACACAAATTTGCTAAAGTTCAAAAAAAAAATATATATAAATAAATAAAATTCAAGTTAACCAACGCAGTACGATGTCACAGCAGCTTACATCTTGTTCAGTGGCATCCCTTGGAAGCCCCACCACGTACAGCTTCACGAAACCGCCACAATGAGCACCATCTGTCGAACCTTATATTCGTAAATAACGATGGAAAATAGTTCAAAAAACATTAATCAAGAGAAAACAGAGTGTTGGAGTTAACTACTAGAATGATGGAACTGTCTCTTTTGCCCGGAGAGAGGTTGCGAATTGGAGTTGCTGCTGGGGTAGTGGCCGGTGGATTCATTCTGCTCCCCGGTAAAATTGTGGTGGCTGCAGTTGTCTGCCTCGTGGTGGTGGTGGTAGCCACCGCCGTGTGAAACGTCGTCGTCTTGACAGCGGTAGCCACCGTCGGCAGGAAAAGACGACGTCATAGCAAAGTGATCGGTGCGGTTCAGTCCTTCGCGTTCATTATTCGATTTTTCTTTGCTCACGAATTTTAATTACCATTTTAGCCCTAGAGTGACTCTTTTGCCATTTATGTAAACGATAAAATTGTACTATTATAATAACACAAAATTTCCAAACTAACATACAATTAGAGAACATTTCACAGTTGTAGCAAACAAATAATTAACCTGAATTGAGGCAAAATTAGCTAAATAAATTATAATTAAATTGTACTACTATTTTTTATGAGAAGTGTTGAAAGATTGAAGAGGCGTCAATAGTCAATACTCGCACCAATAAATAAAACCTCTCAAATCCCACATAGGAACTTTAAAAACACATCTCAATAATGAACATTGAACCACAATAAGTAAAAACAAACCCCAACAAGAACAAGAAAAAAATAAAATATTCTAAAACAACAAAATAAAATGAGATTCATTTCATATCACTACATTTTGTACACGATAAAACAGAGGTTATTAGTTTGTGTTGTGCATATTTCATTTCGTTTATGTTTTTCTTACAGAAACAATACAAAGATGGACCGTAATAATAGTATATTAATTAAATAAAAAATAGTGATGATAGTTTGATGAAACTAATAAAGTCAGCTAAGATGATTAAATACTTAACTACGAATACAGAATTAATTTTTCCAAGTCGAATCTACAAATAGTTATACCTAAATAATACAACCTTCCATCTTTTAGTTTCTGTGATTAATAATAATAATAATAATACAATAACACAAATACGATTTCAAAATGCAGAGCCATTCCCATTTCTTCTCCTTATGTGCTCCCATCATCACAAAAATCATCATCTGTCGTGCTAATCTTTGGGAAAAATTCTTCATTAGGATATATTTCTTGAAATAGCTGCAAAAAAAAAAGGCATAAAAACAAAAACGAATGTCCAATAAGCTAATAACAAAAATCTCGGGAGGCACTTCTTGATAGCCATTACCTTTTTGGTTGCATCAAGGAGATTATTGTAGTGTAGATGTTCATCAGGCATGGGCGTGAAGGTGATGGACTGAGACGCGCCGCGAAACTGAAAAATTGTAAGAACAAATGTATCATGAATATGGTTAAAACTCAAATGCCAATATACGTGCAAAATTTTGGATGAGGTGAAATATTTTAAAAACAAGTACATCATAAAGGCCCAATGAAAACAGAGAGAAGATTCGAAACAATGCACAAAAGTTTACAGTTTTTCGTGTTTGCTGAGAGGTTTGCCGCCATCTCCGTACATTTTCCATTTTTCTAGTCGAAAAAAATAACAGCACAAAACAAAACAAATGAAGATGTAACAAAGAAGTTAGGGGCAAGACGAAAACCTCAGTTAGCTCTTGAATATACAGGGCACTCCAAAGCAAACATGGTTTTCCTTCCGTATTCTCACATAAATGTTCCTTACAGAACAATGTGTTAATGGCTTCATTTAGTAATTTCTTCCCCTCTACAGCGTTACCACATTTAGCTGACAGATAAGTCACAAACCTGAAAATAAAGCATGTAATTGACAACGTGTCAGATGATATTTCTTTACCAACATAAACACATTTACTGCTTTCAGTAGACCAAGAAGAGAAATTACAACATTCATTGTTATGTTCATAAAGCAACTCTTGACAAGCCAAAAATAGCCTCGTATTGTTATAACATAACGTCACACTTGGATTAGACGATGGTCACATTTTGGAAATTGAGAGGTATGTTTATGGCTTAAATTTCTAATAATGGATGAAGGAAAATGTGGCATTAACTTACATCCCTGAGGGGCAAGCAGCCACATTGCCACTCAAATGGAGTACACGGACGGTTGTAATTTGTTCAGGGTACAAAGCTGCCGAGAAGGAAAAATTAGAAAACGATATATATTATTTACAGAAATTCTGCCAAAACCAAACCAAAAAGATTTTACATTTCGGAGGGAAGAACACCATGCAATTTGAAACTCCTGGCTTTACTGAATTCTTCGCAATGCATATTCCCCGAGCAACCTTCTCTTCTGTATCAGAAAGCCTGGCATTATGTGAAGATGCCACCTGTTCAATAGGAGCCGAAGTTGATGGGATTGTGAAATGTGGAGCAAGAATCAGTTGAGAGCTGAATAACTCCTGACCGGAAGCTAATTTCACACCCTTATGCATTTGGCCATCCTAAAAGAAACACAAATGTTTAATAAAGACATAATTGTCTTTGTAATAATGGATGAAGATAATGACATGCCATAGACCGATCGGTTAATCACCAATTGTGATGGAAAATATATAGAAACAATGAACAAAAACCATTCAGACCTTATCCATGAGCACAGAAACCACAGGCATTCGCAAAACCTGTCATCATAAGAAATAGCAATAGTAAAGGAGAGCATTAGACCATAGCAAAAGAGAACAGAAGAGAAATACAGCTCGTAACATCAATCACTGGTAAAGATTATAGGGGCAATGAATCAGAAGTTTGAATGAAAGACAATTGTTCATGAAACATAATACCTATTTCCATATTACTTTGTGTACAACACGACAGATAAATGATTTGTAATATAAATTGATAAATGGGCCTGGGTAGAACTCGTCCCCAAAAGCTAGCTCAAACGGGGAGAGTGCCCAACCAACACTTACACATAGCTTCTAGGATAAATAAATCCCAGTGTCAGAAGAAGATTATTTAATCATTTATAAACCTGACAATGTTAGTATTTTGGTCCATTGACGAACTACGATGAATCACTATATATATATA